AGTCTTCTAAAGATCGATCAAAATTGATAACTTCGTTTTGTAAACAATTTATAGTGGTCTTTCAAACACTTTTTGCTTCACCATTATACACCCCAACTATTCATTCTGATCCTTGGTTGAAAAAATTTGGAGATTCGATAAAAATGGCACGTGAAGCTAGTGTAGAATATGGATGGTCTTTAAATGATATGTGGAAGATTTTTGAAACTCTAAAGGGCACTAACGGATTTGCAGAATTTCCACCTCAAGAATTTTGCGACTCAGATTTTCAATACTATATGGAAAATATTGAAAATTACATCAATCCTGCTGACATTCATTTTAATACAGCACAGATGTTAATACAGAGGTTATCACAAGAATATACATTGCGGTCATCTCTTATTAGTCTACAAAAAACTTGATGTTGACAAATTTGTTTCACGCCAAGTGCAAGCATCAACAGCAACTCAGTTAAGTTTTGGTCCTGCAGTTGATCAAAAAATTAGCGAAGATTATGGCAAAATTTTTTGTATATTTGAAAAGCATGAAAAAAAGAATATTAACAAAGTTTCAGGAAATTCTATCAAAATGCGTGGGGGTAACCAATGGGTGTCTGTTTTCGGAGCTATGTGTTTATTATTACATGCAGAATATACTATTCGCATCATGCGTGACACTGATTTTTCTCTTCTGTTACAATCTCAAAACGATGATCCGATGCAAGGTATTCTGATTTCCAGATTTAAGCGATATTGGGAACTTAGCGTTGAAGAAGAAAGTTCGGCAGAACAGCAAAGTACGGAGAGACAAATTGCAGATATTATGGATTCAATGGAAAAATGGGATTCTGAAACATCCGAAACGCCTAATTTAGCTACTGTATCACCCATTGAAGATATATCATGGGCAATTTACACTATGTTCTTTGAGAATCCATATCGTCATTTAAAGAGGACATTAGATGTACGCACTGACCTATTAGTAATGACACATGCTACGTCACTTGTTCATTGTTATCAGTTGGGTGGCATCTGCGTGCATAGAGACGAAGATTACCTGATGAAATGGGCAGCTGATAATCCGAATTCTGCTTATTCAAGAGCGTTTTTGGTTACTGAACAGGATGTTAAAGATGGTATAGACGTCCTAAAACCGTTGGTCGAAGAAAATAAGTCAAATAAGACACAGCCAGTTGTAGATTCTCCAAAGAACAGGCTTTATCTTAATTTAATGATTGAAAACCTTAAAATGTTCCAGAGAGGAAGAAAAGACAAGGAATCACAGACAAATTCGGAAGGCGAAACACGAAAAAAACCCTTGATTTTTTCAACCCTTTCAGAAACAATGATTGATAGAGTCAGATTTTCGTTACGAGGAAAACCTCCAGATCGGGAAGACATGGTAACACTATTCAAAGAACTTGCAGATATGGGAAAAAATCCGGACACCTTTGATGAGCCGGAAAGCAAGACTAGCTTTTCTGAAAAAGAAGAAAAATCTGTCGATTATGTCTATAGGCGCCGTCTGACTATGGGAATTTCGAGCAGTATAACTGATGTTATCCAGCAACTTGCAAAAATACAATACGAGTTTAGTCATCAACAGACTGCCGAAACTCTAAAACACGAATTACTTGGTCGTGTTGCATCTTTATTACTTGGTTATAAATATCCATACCATCCTGATTATCGCCCTTCGTCTAAATGGTACCTCTCACCGGAAGTAGTTATACGATTTCTTCTTGCCAATGAATCAGTCTTTGAAAACATATCAGAATCAAACGAATATAAATGGAAACTTTTGCTTGATCCTCGGATATTAGAATCTCCCCTTGTCAAGCGCGTTATTAGTTTGAGTAAATCACCCAACTATTCATTGAAAAATCTCACTAATGGAAGTAATTTCATGACTGTGTCATATCATATTAAACGGCTCTATGTGGCAGAATCTGACGAATTGGATGCATATATTATTGAATTTCTTGCCAATGATCGATTTAATTGGCAACCGGATGAAGAAAACCTGAAAAAAAAAGAGAAGGATTTAAGAGATGCTGTATATAAATATAATAAGTTTCATCATTATCTTAAAGAATACAAAAATGCCGCAGATGCTGTTTTTTTGGGTAAACAAAAAGACTTTGTACCTAATCTAAAGTTTGATGAAGGGGAAGCGATTGTTGAGAC